CACACTCGTGCCACACTCGTGCCACACTCGTACCACACTCGTACCACACTCGTGCCACACTCGTGCCACACTCGTACCACACTCGTGCCACACTCGTGCCACACTCGTGCCACACTCGTACCACACTCGTACCACACTCGTGCCACACTCGTGCCACACTCGTACCACACTCGTACCACACTCGTGCCACACTCGTGCCACACTCGTACCCACACTCGTACCACACTCGTACCACACTCCTCGTAACCACACTCGTACCACACTCGTGCCACACTCCTCGTACCACACTCGTACCACACTCCTCGTACCACACTCGTACCACACTCGTACCCACACTCGTGCCACACTCGTGCCACACTCGTACCACACTCGTGCCACACTCGTACCACACTCGTACCACACTCGTACCACACTCGTGCCACACTCGTGCCACACTCGTGCCACACTCGTACCACACTCGTACCACACTCGTACCACACTCGTGCCACACTCCTCGTACCACACTCGTACCACACTCGTGCCACACTCGTACCACACTCGTGCCACAACTCGTACCACACTCGTACCACACTCGTGCCACACTCGTGCCACACTCGTGCCACACTCGTGCCACACTCGTGCCACACTCGTACCACACTCGTACCACACTCGTGCACACCTCGTACCACACTCGTGCCACACTCGTACCACACTCGTACCACACTCGTGCCACACTCGTACCACACTCGTGCCACCACTCGTACCACACTCGTACCACACTCGTACCACACTCGTGCCACACTCGTACCACACTCCTCGTACCACACTCGTACTACACTCGTACCACACTCGTACCACACTCGTGCCACACTCGTGCCACACTCGTACCACACTCGTGCCACACTCGTACCACACTCGTACCACACTCGTGCCACACTCGTACCACACTCCTCGTACCACACTCGTACTACACTCCTCGTGCCACACTCGTACCACACTCGTACCACACTCCTCGTACCAAACTCGTACCACACTCGTACCACACTCGTACCACACTCGTGCCACACTCGTACCACACTCGTGCCACACTCGTGCCACACTCGTGCCACACTCGTACTACACTCGTGCCACACTCGTGCCACACTCGTGCCACACTCGTGCCACACTCGTACCACACTCGTGCCACACTCCTCGTACCACACTCGTGCCACACTCGTACCACACTCGTGCCACACTCCTCGTACCACACTCGTACCACACTCGTACCACACTCCTCGTACCACACTCGTACCACACTCGTACCACACTCCTCGTACCACACTCGTACCACACTCGTACCACACTCGTACCACACTCGTGCCACACTCGTACCACACTCGTGCCACACTCGTGCCACACTCGTGCCACACTCGTACTACACTCGTGCCACACTCGTGCCACACTCGTGCCACACTCGTACCACACTCGTGCCACACTCGTGCCACACTCGTGCCACACTCGTACCACACTCGTGCCACACTCGTACCACACTCGTACCACACTCGTACCACACTCGTACCACACTCGTGCCACACTCCTCGTACCACACTCCTCGTACCACACTCGTGCCACACTCGTACCACACTCCTCGTGCCACACTCGTGCCACACTCGTACCACACTCGTACCACACTCGTGCCACACTCGTACCACACTCGTACCACACTCGTGCCACACTCGTACCACACTCGTACCACACTCCTCGTACCACACTCGTACCACACTCGTACCACACTCGTACCACACTCCTCGTACCACACTCCTCGTACCACACTCGTACCACACTCCTCGTACCACACTCCTCGTACCACACTCCTCGTACCACACTCCTCGTACCACACTCGTACCACACTCGTACCACACTCGTACCACACTCGTACCACACTCGTGCCACACTCGTGCCACACTCGTGCCACACTCGTGCCACACTCGTACCACACTCGTGCCACACTCGTACCACACTCGTACCACACTCATCGTACCACACTCGTACCACACTCGTACCACACTCGTACCACACTCGTACCACACTCGTGCCACACTCGTACCACACTCGTACCACACTCGTACCACACTCGTACCACACTCGTACCACACTCGTGCCACACTCGTGCCACACTCGTGCCACACTCGTGCCACACTCGTGCCACACTCGTACCACACTCGTACCACACTCCTCGTACCACACTCGTACCACACTCGTACCACACTCGTACCACACTCGTACCACACTCGTCCACCTCTCATCCTCCCCTCGTCCACCTCCCGTACCCACCTCGTACCCCCCTCGTACTCCTCTCCACACCCGTGGCGGAGGTTCAGAAGTGACTTTTGGGGCAGGGAAGGGGGAGCGGAGCGAACTACTTTGACGGATGAAATTATGGGGGGCACGAGAAGGCGGGGCGGGGGGGGGGTTGTGGCACAATGCACGCACGAGGATGGGAGCCAAAGTGCAAAGGATGAATGCCCCCCACACCCCACCCCTCCACCGCCCCAGGTGAGAGTACACCATGGTATTTGTGATGATCAGAGTGCAACGTCGCACATTCAACCTTCACGCCAAAAATATACACCGAGATTCTCCGTGTTGTTTTCTGCCCGGAGCAAAACAAGCGGGAAACGAAGCGTCTGTTTTTTTGTTTTTTGTTACCGGCCGGCGCCTAACGGATGGACCTGGGAGTTTTACGTTTCTTTTGTTCTGCTCCGGAGCTTTCGAGGCAGGATTTGTGTATCATGCAGACTCGCAAAATGCTTCGCTGTGGAGTGACCAAGAGGCGGCAGGTTAGCAAGCAAGTTTGCCGGCTGCCTTTGGAGCAAATCTGGGCACTTGTCCCCTCGAATGCAAGGGGGGATTTCTTCAGCCATCCTCGACTCTTCCCGCGTGCAAATGCACCCAGTGAGTAATGCGGCCGAACATTCCCAAGCAGCGCCCTCTTGAGAAACAGCCTTTGTGACACCACGCCCTTGAGAGTCTCGTGCGAGTCGCTGCTCGAGATACGTAAATACATTTTAAAATCATTTCTCCTGTTTATAATATTCAATTTGCAATGTCTGGCCGTATATGGTACTTGCAGGGCGCTCGGCTTGTCATCCAGAGGTCGCGATTTCAAAATTCTGGCTACGTGCTGGCTCAGTCCATCACCCCTTCTGGCAGTGGTTGTTCTACGGGGGGAGACGGGGGGTGGTGAATGACCCCTGACAATAGGCATTTAGAAATTTCGACCAGGGCTGTCAACGGTGATGAGCATCGTCCCACGCTCAGCTGAGCAGGCCGGAACACTTCCGAGCGTTAGGATCTCCACCGGAGAGGAGACGTGAGCAGCCGCGCAGGGGACCGGCAAGATTTTGAACGGGGCCTGCAAGACTGCCAATTCGGTGGCGAATTAGTCTCTCGCGAATTTCACGTCCCGACAACCCCGCCAACCAGTGTGCAAGACTCGGCTGTTTCATCGGGTCGAGCGCCTCCCTCTCGTCCGTCCCTCGTTCCACTACCGTGCCGCAGGAGAGCGCGACGTTAATTCCCTTCCTCCCTCTTTCCTCGCACTGCTTCGCTCTGGAATTCGTCCCGCCCCCCCCTAACCCCACCGCGACCGCCGCCTCCACGCACATCTATACCTCCCACCGTCTCTTTTCTCCGAATTCCTAAAACCTTGCTCAATTCAAGAAACGTGTTGGTTCTTATCTGCCGCGCTATCATTAACGCGTGCTCTCTCTCTCTCTATTTGCCAGCTTTGGAATTCCCTCCCCCCCCACCCCCGTCGTCTCTGCTCTCAGCTTCCCGCAAACCAGGCCCAATTCATGAAACACGTCATCTATCTGCTGCACTGTCTATCATAAGCCGGGGTGGTGTTGGTTGTGCATGTGGCCCGTAATCCAGCACTGTGGAGGCAGCAGCGAGGGGTTGATGGATCACACAAAAGGTTGTGAAAGCCTCTTCCCGTGGGTGTCGAGACGCCAAATCTTGGCTTTCCAGGGTAAAATGCAATAATAGCAAATGTGAGCTCCATCTATTCCAAGTCATTTCTTTCAAACTGCTGTTTTTGTTTAGTTTATTGCCCTTCCCCCCGCACCCACCTCCGATTAGCGCGGTTGGCTACGTACGGTGCAAAAGAAGTTCAACGTACACGCGAACGTGCGGGGGTTTTCTCCGTGTGCTCCGGTTTCCTCCGACACGATCTTATTGGCGTGGGAGTTTTTTGTCCGTGCAGCGACTTGTAACCTCCGGGTGAAAGGCGCTTTACGAGTGTCAATTATTATTAAACACTCATTAATTGGCTGGTAACACCTTCATATATACACAGAGGCTGACTTTCCCGCTTTGCCTGTGGCTCTTCGTTCCTCCAAGTCATTCACTCTCTCTCTCTCTGCGAGGGCGAGCCAATCCTATGTGGTGGTGGTGGCGGCGATGTGTTACAAGTTGACATTATTATTGTTATTATCATGATATCATGATCGTTATAAGTGTTATTATACTTGGTATCATTATTGTTATTAACAGTGCTATTGTTATCGTTATTATTTATAATATGACTGTTATCATTATTATAATTGATATTATTATTAGTGTTATTATTGTTATTATGAGTGCAATTATTGTTATTATTATTATTCGTGATACTGTGATCATTATTATTGTTACATATTGTTATTCCGTGATGACTGTCATCGTGGTGTGCTCTGGGACCGCTGTTTGTTGTCGTTTTTCTGCCCTGCCCAAGCCTGCGTTTAGTGTTGAAAAATCGGCAGGAATTGTACTTCATGTATTAATATTTACTTATTTTAGTGACCTGCTTACCTTTCCTCTATACTTTTCACTCCCGTCGTGTTCTTTGTATTAAATCAAGATTCTCAAACCCGATTTAGGGGGCCTTTCGGACCTGTGCCCAACAACCGCGACAGGAACCAGAACCTCACCCTCACGTGAGGCGAACGACTCGACAGAGCGAGCGGTTAACGAGGCCTCGGTGTGCAGGCATCGCTCACCAGTACTGAGCGGTGAGGTTGACCGTCTTCTTGAAGCAGGCAGACACGAGGTCCTTCCACGGAGTGTCCGGAGGCAAGGACGCCTTTACGTCCTTCATGCGATCCTTCAGCATCTCGCAGCACTTCTGTATGCCCTGCACGCAAAGACAATCATCCCCCCGACACCGCCCGTAAAGCCTTAACAGACTGTTGGGGCAAGTGCTGTTAGCTAGTAGGTGGCCAGCACCACGCCCGGCCCCCTTTGTCTCCCCAGTGGCGATGTTTACACTCCCCGCACCAGGTACTCATTTGACACTGAGTCGACGTCGGGGAGGCTCGGATCGGATAATCGTCACCGATGTCGTGAGCGGGAATCGAACTCGGGTCGGCGGGATTGAGGAATCTCCACCGCTGGTACAAAGCCACCAGTGGAGGTGAGTACCTCCATTGGCTCGGCTCGGGGCCCGGCAGGGCCACGATCAGGGCCAGTGACTCGTTCATTGCACAAGAGTGCGCCGTCAACGAGTACACCGTTAGGACACAGCACCACCACATAGTACACGCGCGTCTTGACTGGATTGTTGCGTGTGACCGTCAGCGGCACGGCTTCTGCAGTGGAGAAACTGAGCTGCTCTGGGCTGGCATGGCTCGAATATGGTAATGAGAGGTAAGAGGCGAGTGAAAACTGTCATGGTGACCAACCTCCACATTTGCACATGGCACAGATTTCGAAATCACCGGTAATTTCTAAAATTACAAACGGCCACGGGTGAGCAATGCTTTGGCAAAATTGAGATCTTAGGCTCAAGCACACACAGCTGCCAGTGATTAAACCAGGTTCTGAAGCACGGTGAGTTTAATGGTCTCAGCCCGGGTAACCAATGCCTGACCAAAAGACGTAAAACATACAAAACTTAGTTTTTTCACTCGGCACCATAAACAGGAACATGTGGATCACAGAGCGAACACAAAGCAGAGACATCGTACCGACTGCTAAGAAATGTAAGTGGGCTTGGGCCAGACACCGTCTCATGATAGGGGTGATGGCCGAGGGTTGAGACAAACGGTGGAGTGGGTAGCCGGGGGAGGTGACATGCCCAGGAGGACGTCCACTGAAGAGATGGAGCGATGGGATCAACCCGAGCGCAGGAGCTACATGGACTGTTACGTACGTATGTTGAACTTCTTTCGCACCGTACGTAGCCAACCGTGCTAATCGGAGGTGCGGGAGATGGCGACTGCTTCGTGTAGCAGTGGATAGAACATGGCTGATGCTGGTGATGGCTCGAGCCCACCGCTGAGGAATAAATTTTTTGCTCACCTATTGGATGGCCGACGCGCGGCAACGGATACGCAGAGAGCGCGCGACGGGCAGTGCCACCCCGCACCTCCGATGAGCACGGTTGGCTACGTACGGCGCGAAAGAAGTTCAACGTACCGCACGTACAGCAAGACGGATTCACGGGCGACCGCCGCGAGGAAGGCCAGGGGCTCCGGAAGGGCACCGTTTTCACCTCATCGCGCGCGCGCAACGGATTGGAAATGTGGTCATGAAAATGTTAAAGATTGTTTAATTTCCGCGATTAACCCCGGCTTTGTTTAAATCAAGGGAGCCGATCGATCGCACGTTTAAAATAATAAATAAATAAATGCAAGAGCGCTAAATTGTGCGAACTGAACGCGCAGGTTTTGTAATTGCGCAAAGTGCGTTGTCGCTCAGCACCGGCATCGGCCGTGGGTTAGCGCGAGGATAAAAAAAAAAAGGATGAGAAATTAAATTAACGATTCGGCAACTACAAAAAAAACGCGCGGACCATCTTCGTCTTTTTGCGGAGAAAGCCGTTACGCTGATCTATAACGCAGAGAGCTATCGGCTTCACGTCCCTTCTAAATAACGGTGCCCTCCGCTGGGAAACCGGAATCGAACCTGCCGACACTGAGCAGCCTACCGTGGCTGATAAGGGAACGGCTCGCACAAAGGCAAAGATCCCCCCATGTAGCCTTCACAGACTGTTGGGGCAAGAGCTGTTAGCGAGCAGCACCTATGAAGAGTAGCACGAGGGGGTGGGTGGCCAGCACCACGGCCGGCCGCCTTTGTCTCCCCAGCGGCGATGTTTACTCACTGCTCCAGGTACTCATTTGAGGCTGAGTCGACCTAGGGGATACCCAGGACAGGTTCAGATAATCGTCACTGGTGTTGGCCGTGAGCGGGAATCGAACTCGGGCTGCCAGTTTCGTAAGGGCAGCGCGCTAGCCGCTGCACCACCACGCGCGCACGCACACGCGCGCACGTACGCACGTACATTACTGTCAAAGCCTTCATCAATTCCGGCCGAGCCGGCGTAATTGACTTAGTGGGGGGAGATGGAGGATTGGGGGGGGGGGGGTAGCCACTGCACGTGCTCAGACAGCTAAAGCGTCCGTGAGCGAGCGAATCAATCGGCACGCCGGGGCAATACCGGGCCGAGCGCAGAAATCCACGCGGCGCGGAATAATGGCTGCGTTGGCAGAAGCCCTGGAATGAATGGCCCGCTGCCCCCCTGACACAATGCTCGGGGTGGCTTGCGCGGAGGAGGGCAAGGCCACGCCACCGAAGCCGCGCGGCCGGTATTAGTTACAGCGCCCGAGCGCTGACGAACAAGCGCAGACGCTTGATATACCATACCTGTCCTGCGTGCGCGCACACGTGCGTGTGTGTTTGCACTGGCGCGCTCGTGCGTGTGTAGGAATGTGTGTGTGTGGGTGGCGGTGGCGACATTGTGGTTTGTCCACAAGCGAGGCGATACCCAGCCCGCCGCCAGGGTCCAATCCCTAGTTGTGCGCACTCTTGGGTGGCAGGTGGCATCTGAATGATGATCTGTGCCGACCTTCGACAACCTAACGCCAGACAAAGGTGGCTGGGCACGCACGGTGGTAGCCGGACAGCAACAGAAATAAACAGTACTTTCATTTTATATCGCGTCATTCATGCTAGTCGAATCCCATAACAGAAAGCCTCGTTATATCTCATGCCACCCTTAATCGGTGCTCACTAACTGCACTTGCCTCAATGGTCTATTTAGGGTTAAAAGTAAGTTATGAGCGTGAACGTGTTTGTATGTGTTTGTGTGATTAAAGGTTCAATTCTTGGTCAAGCACACAACTGAGGATCTGCATCTGAACTTGTCTCGTGCCTAGCCTAGGCTGACTCAACATAAAATGAGTATCTAGTGGAGAGTGGCCGGGAATGAGAAGTAAAACACCATCCCTCCACGTGTAACATCAGCCTTAATAGACACTCACCCACTGCACCTTCGATGAGTACAGCTGGCTACGTATGGTGGCAAAGAAGTTCAACACACGTACAAATGCATCGATCGTCTACCCGAGCCAACAGTTCTGTAACCCTATGGCGCACGCCTGCGATCCAGCGCTTTGGGGGTGGTTCATGCAGACCCCACTGGGCTGCGATGTAGCCAGCGGGCAGCTGGCTTCATGAACCCACCCTTGCAGACGTATCCCCCTCGTATGCCCGACCGGTTGTCTCCGGGCACCAAAGAGACTTCCAAAAAAAACTAAACAAAAACGTTCCTCCAAAAACAGAATTTCCGTCAAACATCCCGAGGTACGGATCGCTCCCAAACAATTGCCGAGCAGAGGCGGCGGCTGTCGGGTGCGCAGGCGGTGTAACTGCACCGCCCCCCACCCCCATGGTGGGTCGGAGGGGCCCAGGCGGCGGCCTTCGAAGAGAAATAGCGGCAGGGGACCCCCTCGCGTTTCATTCCCCGCACCCCAAGGCCCGTGCCAACCACGCTACGCCGCCGGTCTCGAGTCTCCGCGCGGCTTCGCCGGAGTATCAAGTGACACTGTTGTTATGATTTAAGGAGCACCGCCAGAAATATGATGCTGATTGTTACACAAAATAAAAGCCCCGTGTATTATTAATAGTGCGCTCGTTGGCATTGCAGCCGATTGTGGGTCTCGGTGAAGGTTTGCAGAGAGAGGAGAGTGAGCTTCGCAAGTTAAGGAAGTGCAAAGGAAAGGTCTCTGGGAAAATGAGATTTACCAGCTCTGAATCAAGAGTAATGGCCGCGGGAAGAGTACAAACTAAAGAATCGTAATAAGATAGGCTATCCTGGAAGCTGTACGAGTTTGTGTTTGTCCATCTCGTTATGACGTCGCGTGCGTGAGTGAGTGTGTGGGAGCGATAGTGTAGCTGTTAGCGCAACGCGCTACTAACCTGGCGACCCGAGTTCGATTCTCGCTCACAGTCAACACCAGTGATGATCATCTGAACCGGTCCTCGGCCTCCCCTAAGTCGACTCAGCCTCAAATGAATGCCTGGTGCGGTGTGTAAACATCACCACTAGGGAGACAAAGTCGGCTGGGAGTGGTGCTGGCCACCCACTCCCTCGTGCTACTCTTCATAGGTTCAGGTGGCACTCGCTAACAGCACTTGCCCCAGCAGTCTGTTGAGGCTATCGGGAGATCTGTGTCTCTGTATGAGTAGGGGGAGCTGTAATGCAGTGGTTCGTGCCCTGTACTATGCATCCGGCGACCAATAGCGCAGTGCAACAGGAATCAAACCTCCGGGTCGGCGGGTTCAGAGCGCAGTGCACTAACCACTCTCTTCCTCCTCTCCCCCTCCAGACAAGGGTATACACGCATAATTCACTATATATATAAACATCAGATGTGCATGAGACGTAAAACGCATTACATGATGTTTAAATTGGCCATGATGAGGCTGGGAATATATTTCCACACGGAGCACAAGGCAGGACATGTGCAGCGCCTGCTGCTGCTGCTGCTGCTTGCATGTCCGCTGTTTATACGCGTTACACCGCTTGTTTTAGCTACGAGTATAAATCACAAACGGTTGAATCCATCGCTTCCAAATAGTCTACGCAATGCTGTCGTCAACCAGCTGTTGCTCTCTCCTCCCCCCCCCCTTCCCCAAAGCGATATGCGCAGATGTATGCATGTTCAAGTTCTTTCTCACCGTACGTAGCCAACCGTGCTAATCGGAGATGTGGGGGGAAGGACAACAAACTAAATACAGAAAGCAGTTCCAAAGAAATTGGTTTTCAATCGATGATTTAAAAGTGCATAGCTCCAGTGGCTTCCTAACATCGGAAGGAAGAGCGTTCCAGGCGGCCGCAGAAGCGCATCTGAAGGCGCGCGATGCAGCGGCGACCGCCTTTGTTCGATGGCCAAGCCAAAAGCCGTCGCTGCGAGGATGTAAACGTACGCACGTAGGAATCAGTACCACGTTGGGTAGCACACACACAGCGGTGTGTAAACCTGATGGCCCAGGTTTGATATCTAACCATAGATAATAATAATAATACTAATATCAGTGGTAAGTGGTGGTATCTCGCATCTAGGGTGACTTAGTATTCAATGAATACCTGGTGTGGTGTGACACTGAGACAAAAACGGTCGGGCATGGTGCTTGGTGTATTACTTGTCAGGCGTAAACGATACTTGCTAACAGCTGATGATGAATAATATGATGATGCTGCTGATGATGCTTATTTTGCTCTTCACAATGATAATGATACTGTTGATGGTGACGTTGCTCCTGTTGGCTCTACTGATGTAGATGAAGTTGCTGATGATGATGATGCTGATGATGATGCCCGCATTGCTGCTCACAATGACAACGCTGGTGACGGTACTGCTGTTAGCAGTAAGGGGCACCGCTGCTGCCTGCATTATGTTGATAAAGTTGCTGATGATGTTGATGCTGCTGCCCATGACCATGCTGCTGCTGCTGATGATGCTGCTGCTGCTGCTCCTGCTGATAATGATACTGATGATGAATGTGCTGCTACTAACAGTGACAATGCCGGAGATGTCAGCTCCGTTGGCGTCAATGAACATGAGAGAGAGAGAGAGAGAAAGAGAGGGGGGGTGACGGCGGGCTGGCCGCGGGTACCATGCAGTTGATCTCGCTGCTGACACTGCCCCCGGTCGCCTGGGCGTTGGGGCTGCACAGGGTGGTCGTCGGCCTCACGGAGACGATGTCGACCGGGACGCCGAGCTCGAATGCGCACACCTGCGCCACCTGAAACGAGAGACAGGCAGCGGCGGCGCCACAGCAAAGTACGACGTTCCGTGAGAGACGGGGGGGGGAGGGAACCGTTCTCGGTTCGGAATCACAATCTCGTTTTAGACCGGAGCAATCCGTACGAGCTATGAAGCTCTTTTTTCACAGATGTCCAGTATGGGACGGGTCAGCAAGTTACAACAAACGATAAAAAACCCGATAGGAGTGCACCATAGAGAGAATGGAAAGCACAAAGCCACGTGGGTGAGTGGGTTGCCCCTCGCAGCGCGTGTAGCCTTGAATAGACTGTTGGGACAAGTGCTGTTAGCGAGCGCCTGTGAGGATCGGAATGGCACACGAGGGGGTGGGTGGCCGGAACCACGCCCGGCTGATTTTTTCTCCCGAGTGGCGATGCTCACACACTGCACCAGGTACTGATTTGAGGCTGAGTCGACCTTGCGGAGGCCCAGGACCGGTTCAGATAATCGTCACCGGTGTTGACCACGAGCGGTGATCGAACTCGGGTCGCCGGGTTCGTAGCGCAGCATAGCGCTGACCTCTACACTACCACTCCCACACACACACACACACGGACACACGGACACACAAAGACACGCTATCTGGCTCCATACACGTACACGCCAGCATCGCACCACGATCCACAACGCTCGCGACTGGACGACAGCCGACAGAGTTTTTACAATCGCGACACTCGCCGCGCCGTGACTCGAGCAAAGGAAACTCTGGAACCAACCTTTGTGTTGATCCCTTGTCCCATCTCAATCCCTCCGTGCGTGATGGTGATTGTTCCATCTTGCGCGTAAACTGCCACCGTGCCTGCAAGGTGCAAGAATAATCACAAATTTAAACGGCAGGCTAGCCGAGCGGGACAGTTTCGGGGCTGGAGGTCCATAGCCCCCTCGGGTTTTTCCCGATGCAATAAAATGCCCACGTCAATATGTGCAACGCGTACGTAGGCCCGCATGACCGATATTATTCGTGATAACGTTTTTTGGGGGTTGGACCGCGTTACGTGTAAACGTCACTGTCGTAGGCCCACCGCCACCCAACGCGGCCAATCACTAAGGTTTGTCACGTGAACGGGACGTGCCAATTAGTTGCTACTTCAGTACCACCGATTGTGTGGTGCTGAAGTAGCGAATTGAGATTCCCCCCTGCCCCCCCACCCTTAGAGACCCCGAATATTGGTATTATTGATATTCACCAGTGAAAACACATTGAATGTTATTTATATCTTAATTTTTGATGTCGGCCCCTCTTTAATCAACTAGAAATTTCCGGGACCACCCCCACCTTGGGAGTGTATTAATCCACCTCTTTTTTTTAATTGAACTCGAGCTCCTCGCCAGCCACTGCCTCTAATGGGGCCCACCGTTAACCATTTCGGGGTCACGTGACCGCCACTAGGTTTCCCCCCCCCCCCCCCCGTAGAATGGCCACCGTTGAACCGTCTGTCGTCAGTTCTAGAGCCCGCCCAGGTGACCTTTCCACGGTCAATTGGTCACCTCTCGACAGCCCCTGGCGCAGCTTTGCCGGGGAGGTGTGAAGGCCTGGTGTGCCCTGTCTAAAGCGCCGACCCCGCGGTCAAGGCGACGCGCCAGCAGCTTAACCCACGAGCCCCTGACCCACGACCCGTGACGCGGACTCAGCGCCGGACAGACGAACCCCCGCCGTGACTTGACGGAGGAGCGGGTGTGAGATGGCGAGGGGGTGACAGAAAGGGTAAACACAACCCGCGTTGACTTCCAAGTCACTCTCGCTCGCCTCACTCGCTCACTCGACATTTTTTTCTTTACGTCCCTTCAATCAGCGGTTCTCAAAATAGCGGTCCCCGGAGCCACCAGGGGTCCGGGACGGTCTTCCAGGTGGTCTGCGGTGGGGCTGTGATGCCAACGCAGGTTGATCCGGAAATGATGATAATGTTGATTATACCTTTTGTTTTCAGGCATTCATATTTTACTTACAATATTTAATAAAAAAAAATGAAGTTAGGTCAACTACCGTGATTAAGTTAACCCTAACCCTGCGATCGAAATGCCAACCCAAAAAAAACAATGTTATAGCTACGTAAATTTTTTTTATTATTATGTACCGGTAATATGAATCACTTTGTATGAGTGGTATTTAGAGAGAGAAGTGACTGCGTTGTCACCGGGGGTGGGGGGCTAGATGGTCTGCGGAAATGTTTGCATTAGTTGGGCTGCCACAGTGGCGAGATGTTAACTACCTCGCCTGGTATGCAAGATGTCGTGGGGTTTGATCCCGAACCTGATGCCTGCTGCTGTATATTTGGAGTTTGCGTGTTTTCTCCGTGGTTGCATGGATTTTTCTCCGGGTCCTCTGGTTTTTCTCTCCATATTTATAAACATGTGTTTGGAGTATTTGGCTGCTCTAAATTTCCACATGATAAGCCACACTTCGTTGAGCTATCATTTGTGATAGCCAGGTCACTTCTGAAAAAGAACTACATAGCTCAGTGGGCCTTACCTGGTAAAATAAAAATGGTTTAGTTGATTTTAGAGTGGTCCGACGGCCAAAACAGTTTGATAAACACTGCCTTAAATAGATTAACACGAATAATAACAATGATAGTAAAACAATGATGATATCCTCTGGTTAATGAGACGTACTTTTCCCCCTGTATGTTAAAGTAACGGCCGTGGGTGTGCCTGATCATCCGGAGCCACGATACCCAGCTGTGGATTGACCGTGGGGAGCAGTAGGGTAGCGGTTAGCGTGCTGCGCTACGAACCCAGCGACCCGGGTTCGATACCCGCTCAAGGCCAACACCAGTGACGATAATTTGAACCAGTCCTGGGCCTCCTCTAGGTCGACTCAGCCTCAAATGAGTACCTGGTGCCGTGTGTAAACATCGCCACTGGGGAGACAAAGGCAGCTGGACGTGGTGCTGACCACCCACCCCCTCGTGTGCCGTGTTGGCCTTCATAGGTGCTCGCTAACAGCACTTGCCCCAACAGTCTGTTCAGGCTATACGGAGGATCTGTCTTTGTATGTATGACCAGATTTGTAAAACTTTAATGAAACTGGACGCAAGTTTACTTTTCCGGAGCACCTTATAACCTGGAGAAAACGGTAAATATAATTTGTATCTATTTGCAAAATATATATTTAAAAAAATACATAACCTTCAGCCCATTGTCAATCCACTGTTGGATGAAGGCCTCGCCACACCTTGTAGGTAATGGGGGGTTGTTTGACCATACTTCATCACATTGCTCACTGCAGGCTGGTGAAGAGGGCGTGCGGGAGGGGGGTGTCCAGGGCCGATTCAGACATCGATGATTGGCGATGCGTGATGGATTGAAACCGAGGGCCGCACTCACACAAGAAGTGGCACCAGTTCCAGGACAGGTTGTACTTCATTGGCACCACGGCCAAGCCACGTTTCTTCCAGCGGTTGTCAGCGTTGAACTTGGCGATATCTGCCTGCCGCTCTCTCACAGCTGCCGACGTCAGCAGATCTGCAAAGCAAGGGAGCGGGTGCCGCCATCGTCACCGTCATCATCGTCAACATCGTCACTCTTGCTATTGTTTGTGGTTATATAACTTGCATGTTGATGTCATCAATTTGACCCCCATCATGTATCATCGCGGTCACTGATGACGTTTATTTTAATGACTATCATCATCGCTCTGATTGTTGCCATCATTGTCAAAAAAAATTAAAACGGCCAGGTGGCTCAGCGGCAAAGTAAGCGGCTTGCGATTGAAGGGTTGTGAGTTCATCATCATCATTGTGATTCTCATCATCATCATCATCACGGTCATCATCACCATCCAAGAATCATCATCATTATCTACATTTGTAACTTAAACTTGATCATCGTATCCCATGCCCAACATGTCAGCTCGCATGTCCCGTGTCCTATGTCTCATGTCACATGTTCCATATCCCCATGTCCCATTTCCCATATCCCCATGCCTAATATCTTGTGTCCCATGTCCCATGTCTAATATCTCGCATCCCATGTCCCACATCCCGTGTCTCGTATCTTGTGTCCCGTGTCCTGTGCGTCATGTGCCCGTGTGTCACGTGTGTGGTTCCTGTGTGAGGGAGGCACGCACCAGCGTAGAGCTGGCGGATGCTGCAGTAGGGCAGCAGGTATCCCAGTGGGGTGACATTGCCCTTGCTGTACAGGTTGAGCCTCCGCACTTCCACGGGGTCCTTGCCCAGCTCCTGCCCAATCTGCTCCATGATGGTCTCCATCACGAAGATGTTCGTTATCGAGCCTGCAGCAAGAGTAACGTCATCCGTCGGCTATCATCGTTATCCATCGATTATCGTCATTATTATCATCATCATCATCCGTAAATTCTAATCAACGACCATTCAACAAGCTACCATAATTTTAATGATTAAACCATTAAAAAAGCGAGGTTAAGGATAATTGTCATCGTCATCATCATCAGCAGCCATGGTCAATCCACAGCTGGATGAAGGCCTCCCCAAGACGCCTGCGATGTGATAATTCACCCATCATCTGTACTCGGACTGATTTCATCGCTCCGTCTCCTCAACCGACTTCTTCTCTTAAAATAATATCCTTTATTGATCACCTCCAACTCAAACCCAGAGGTCAGTGACCCAGAGGAATCTCTAAATCCAGACGGTGCAATACTGTAAGATAATTCATTGACCGATTTATGGATTTATATATTTAATAATTTATGTACTCCTTTTCCTTCAGTTTTGTGTAGGATGCAGGTAACACGTTAGGTTGTTGAATTTTACTCAGCCGCAGAATCTGGCAGAAGCAAGGAAGCGACGGTGAAGTGTAGTGGTATCAACAACATTGCACACCTGTCAACCCCTTATCAGTGCCTACCTCATTACCGACCAATTCAGACCTTATTGGTTACCCCGTTCCCTTATAAATCTCCACGTTCATCCCTACAAAGTCCCAATGGAGAAACACAAACTAATAGACTTTAAAAAAAAAATGCCCGCATCGAAACGGCTGTACACCGTAATGGACCTGAACACTCAATTTCCCTGTACAAGAATACGGAGTAAACCGTATGGGTTGACACGGTCTGGCATTGGTTTGTGATTGGCCTCTTGCATTTGGACTTTAATTGCCAAGGAGAAAGCCTCACTGCGTCTCAAGAATAATTTCCAGGAGGCTCCTGCGATGGGATGTTGGGCCAATTTTAGGCGGCAGAGTGGGGCACGGCGGTGACCCTTTGTGCCGCGCAGCGACAAAGACCTGGGTTTGATTCCTGGCTCGAGCGGCCAACGTAACATCGCTGCCGTTGGACACGTGATGTTCCCTGTGCCGGGGTTGGGATCCAATGTTCGGGGTGGCTTCTGGGTCAATCAGGCTAAACGAGAACGCATAAAGCGAGTCTGAAAAACGACCGTAGAGGAGCACGCTTCCCCCCAGATTTAACACATTTTCGACAACGAGGGCACCTGAAATTTGCAGCAATACCGTGGTTTAACTGCAGCTGTTTCTCAATGCAATGGGATGCCCGAGATGCCGTTTCGTGATAAATCAGCGGAGCCTCCTGAAGGAGGTGGCATTTTTGTCAAAGACGGGAGCTTTGAGCGCTAATGAACACACATAACTCTTTGGACCACGTGCACACCCTTCCACAACTCCCAACAAAAACATTTACACGCGTGAAAGTGCACACACACACACACACACTTCCAAGATCATTACTCGGTCATCATGGCCAATGTTGCCGCAGCGACAGCACCACACATCTGGTGCGCGGTTGACAGACAACCCCCATGGCTCTTGCAGCGTCCCACAGTTTGGCTTTGAGCGGCAGGGTGGCGTTGGTGGCAGGGTGGTACCAGTCGCGTCTCACAACAAGGGCCTGCGTGCGACTCCTGACCCGGGCGCCTCTCTGTCTGGGGTTTGTAAGTTCTCTCCCTGTTCTGCATGGGTTCACTCATGCCACCTTGGCGAGATGTTGACTACCTCGTCTGGTATACATGAGGTCATGGGTTCCATCCCGACCCTTGACGCCCGTATATTTCGGATTTTTCTCCGGGCCCTCCAATGTTTTTTTCCTCCACATTTAGAATCGACAGCACGCGTTTAGAGTATGTGGCTGCTAAAAATGTTCACGCGATAAGCCGCTCTGTCGAGCTATCATTTTTTGCCAAGTAGCTTCTGAAAAAGAGCTGTATAGCTTAGTGGGCCTTACCTGGTACAATAAACAAAATAGTTGAGTTTTAGTTTACTCCCGGGTCCTCCGGTTTCCTCCCAAAGCTAAAATAACCTTGGCCGCAAATCGAACTCTGGTCGGCAGGTTCATAATGCGGTGCGCTCACCCACTGTGCCACCACCCCGCCCCGCGTTTCACCAAAAGCTCCGGGTCAGAAATGACTCGAAACTCAATCTGGCCACTGTGGGTCGTGGCAGTTGTGGGGGGCGGCCAGGATTTCCACAGAGCCCAGCCCACCACCCCCCCCCCCACACCCCACCGTGTACGTCAACGCGGCGTCGCCAAACAAGGCGTCTCGGGTTGCGCCGCTCCGTCACAGAAGCGGCAGCGGCGGCGGCGGCGGCGGAGGCGACGACGGCGGCGGCAGGGGCGGCTGGGCACGCATTCCCACGGCTAAAAGGAGCGCTAACAATCGCGCTTCCAGGAAGAGCTGCGCCACCACTGAAAGGGAGCTTTCCCTCCTTTGAAAAATTCCTTTTCCCGAAATCCGCAACGTAAACACCGGTGGCCAGGCTTTAGAGCAGTCTGCACACCGGGTCGGTGGGCGGGCGGGTCGGCGGGAGGCGGGCCGAGGGAGAATAAATAAATCGCACGAGCAAATAAATAAATATCATGTTAGAAGCACCATGTGTTTTGTTAAACCGTGTTTTAGCAAGAGCGATTATTCTAATTGCAAAAGGCGGGAGCCGAAAGCAAGACGCTGCTTTTTTGAACGTCTGGGTCTGCGCTGGGGGGGGTTTCCAGATTTTTTTGCGGGGGGGGAGGGGAGGGGGAGTAAAACGATCCGAAACGTCTGCCCAGAAGGGCCCAAGAGAGGCCAAACTTGTCAGAGTGGAACCCAAATAATAGGGTACAGTTTTGAGAACTCCTATTGATTCGAATCAGATTTCACAACCAGTTTGAAAAAAAAACCGCAATTGTTTATTATATCACCCAAGCTGGAAACCCTCGTTTGCTTGCAGTATATATATACATGTATTTGTGGCCAATTTATAAAAAAAAACGTTACAAGTATTAACCACGGGTTTTATCGTAGCAGAGGGCGGTTCATGCGCATTGATCAATGAACCCAAAGGCCACAGCCAATATGAGTTGCAAGCGATTTGTAATCCGGGCATGGGGTCCCCCCAACTTTACTGACCAGCATGGTGAAGTATGGTCAATTAACCCCGATAACCGATATGGACGTGGGGAGGCCTTTATCAGTAGTGGGTTGACAAAGGACTGTAAACTATCATAATTAATAATCGTTGTATGTATACATACACTTCTTGACCGATGATATTCTGTGACCAACACAATGATGAATTATCATAATTGATTGTGATTGGTACTTGTGCAGTGTTGGTGCTGGTGCTGCTGCTGTTGCTGGTAATGACGATGACGACGACGACTGATGAAAACCTGTACCTGGCGAGCGACACCACTGATGGCTCGGAGTGTTGGTCTTCAGTGCCACCGGGATGAGATGCCAGTTGGCACACTTGTACACTGCGTACGAACGCACGTACACACACACACACACGCAATCTATCAATATTTATTTTAAGTGGCAATATCGCCCTCAATAATCTTGTGCACCGGTGCCCATTGCAGCAGAACAGGAAATGTTGGAGGGGGCATAGAGAGCAACAGGAATGAGAAAAGAAACGCGCCACGACCTCAGCGGCTAACACCCACTGAGCAAAAAAAATTACAACCGCGCACAACCAATAGCATAAGAAAGGTAAGTAGTAAAAAAAATTGTTAATATTTTTTTTCCTTCTCGAGTCCTGGACAGATGCGTCTCGCAAGGGTGTTCCAGATTTGTTTTGGTTGCTGGCAACAACAACAACCGCCATTCGCCACTAAGTGGTGGTGACATCACGACGATGCTTGTGCCAGGCCATGTGCACCTTGAGGCCACGTGAAGTGTCGAACGCCCGCTGGCAGGAGGTCACGGGGCAGACCCAGGTGCCACGGGTCGACTGACTGAGATGACTGGCTGATGCACCACCTGTGCCCCCTACTGTGCCAACTTGCTGTGCTTTAGCCACCCGGCGCTCCGCTCGTTGTTGTGAGCGTCGCTCCTCCGCCCTCCGTTGTTATTGGAGGGCGACTCCCTCCAACTGCCCAGTAGCGTCCTTCACGAGCCTCCTCCACAGAGGCCGATCTTGACACCGCTGGTACCAGTCATCGGCAAGTCCGCTCAGCTCCACGTCCTCCTGTACTACATCACTCCATCTCTTCTATAGCCCGTGCCACGCCCGCCTAGCCCCCTCGATCCAGCCGAACAAAAGCTGTTTAGGCATGCGGTGGCTGGGCATGCGGGCTACATGACCCAGCCAACGCAACCTTGCCTGTCGGAGGAGCTCACCGATGGGACTTTGCCCAGATCTTTCAAGGATTTGTGAGCTCCTCACACAATCCAGCCTGGTTAAACCCAGGATGGATCGTAGGCAGGCTAGCCTAAATGTTTCTAACCGGCGAAGATGCTCCATTAGAGGCACACATACACACACTGCTGCTGCACCTGCTGGCAGGTGGGTCAGAGGTGACAAGTTCACGGATGACTCTGCATGACTTGCTGAAAGGATGGAGGTGGGCGGCTGATGGTAGTCGTCAGCTGATGACTTGCACGTTGCCGATTGAGTTCAGCGGCTGGTGTTCAGATTTCGAATGCTCGTTGACTTATGATAAATGCTTAAGGAATATGTAAAGTCAGATTGATAAATTATTTTAAGAGTGTAAGTGGGGATAGTTCTTCCTATTTCATACTTTCCTATTGTAAAGACTTCCTGGCTAAACAAACGGTAAATATTACTAGAATTATTCACACCAGCAGGAATGCAGCTCTTAAGAGTTGATACAACAGAAAAACGCATTTCATCGATGTTTCAGAGGCTTTGTAAAAAAAACAATCACACGTGACACTTCAAACCCCACACTCCGGGAGCTGTCCGGCGCTGAGCTCCGGCAAATATTTGGTGTTGCCTAAACTCTGGGGCCCCTTGGAGCCCCTTGTGGGCCGGGGCCCCCCCCCCCCCCCCCCACCCCCCCCGCGCGCCCCCCCCCCCCCGCCCCCCGACCCCCCCCCCCCACCTCCGCGCTCTACGGCTTTGATCGCTCGCGGCTCCCCAAGCGCCGCCACGGACCGAAGCGACTCACCGTTGTCGGAGAAGCCGAAGCACTGGCCCACTTCGTTGTCGTTGTTGGCGCAGCCGTTGTCGCAGTAGTAGGTGATGAGCACTCCGTTGAGGAGGCCCTCCTCGGTGACACCCACCTGGAGGACGCACCGCGTGAGCCCAAACGCAGCTGTCAGCCGTCGGCCACGTAACAAGACCCTGGGGCTACTTGCCGCGGGTTCGGCCGTCGCCCGTCCGTAACGTTGCGGTTCAGCGGCAGAGGTTTTTGTTTTTTTAACATCCAGAACAAGCGACGGAAATGAAGTGAGAGTGTCTCGCCGCTTAAATGGGCGACGGGGCAGCGCTCGAGCGAGCAGAATTTGGAATTTCCACGTTCCCCATAGTGGTGGGGTCGGTCTCTCCAAAGGACGAGCAGTTTACACAAAGCGGTACCGATTTTATCGACTCCTCGGGGAGATGATGGGCCGAGTCTCCACCAGACAAAGATTCAACGCGAAAAATTTTAATGAACAACAAAACAACGCAACCGGAGGCAAAAGTGAGCGGCGCATTATTCAGTGAGGAGTTACGGACGCTGGACATCGAGCAACTCCTGATTCCATTCAACAGATTACCAGACTCAATGTACAATTGTAACGTTAAAGACATTAACGCTTCAAATGAAAGATTTAGATTGAGTTAAACTCACGAGCAAAGTGAAACCGAAGCATAAGTACTGACCTTGTACTTGACGATGTAGCGATGGCGTTTCCCGAGCATCTCCATGTCATTGTGGAGACTCAATGAGCAGCGCACCGGCCTCGAGAGGGAAACAAAACGCACGGCAGTGACATTTCAAACGCCACAATTCTGGAGGTGGCTTGGTGGCTCAGGAGGTCAGAGCCCCGAGCCAGTAACCTCTTCGGTGAATCCCAGCTGGAGAGCGCTCATTACCCACAAAGTGATTGCCACAGGTGAACCACAACACCTTGCTGATCCCGTCAAAGGAGCATGAACCAATCACGTAAACTCCGGTCATCCTCGCAGCAGCAGCAGCGGCTTTTGGTTGGCCGTCGAACGAAGACGGTCACCGGAATCGCCACGCTTCCACGGCCGCCTGGAACGCTCCTCTTTCGCTGGTCCGTGTAACATGGGATCGCTGGTCCGTGTAACGTGGGATCACTGGTCCGTGTAACGGGGGGATCGCTGGTCCGTGTCACGGGGGATCGCTGGTCCGTGTCACGTGGGATCGCTGGTCCGTGTCACGTGGGATCGCTGGTCCGTGTAACGTGGGATCGCTGGTCCGTGTAACGGGGGATCGCTGGTCCGTGTAACGTGGGATCGCTGGTCCGTGTAACGGGGGATCGCTGGTCCGTGTAACGTGGGATCACTGGTCCGTGTCACGTGGGATCACTGGTCCGTGTAACGTGGGATCGCTGGTTCGTGTAACGGAGGATCGCTGGTCCGTGTAATGGGGGATCGCTGGTCCGTGTAACGGGGGATCGCTGGTCCGTGTAACGTGGGATCGCTGGTCCGTGTAACGTGGGATCGCTGGTCCGTGTAACGTGGGATCGCTGGTCCGTGTAACGTGGGATCGCTGGTCCGTGTCACGTGGGATCGCTGGTCCGTGTAACGGGGGTTCGCTGGTCCGTGTCACGTGGGATCGCTGGTCCGTGTCACGTGGGATCGCTGGTCCGTGTAACGTGGGATCGCTGGTCCGTGTAACGTGGGATCGCTGGTCCGTGTCACGTGGGTTCGCTGGTCCGTGTAACGTGGGATTGCTGGTCCGTGTAACGGGGGATCGCTGGTCCGTGTAACGGGGGATCGCTGGTCCGTGTCACGTGGGATCGCTGGTCCGTGTAACAGGGGGTTCGCTGGTCCGTGTAACGTGGGATCGCTGGTCCGTGTAACGTGGGTTCACAGTGCTGTAGGGGGGGGGGGCAGTCTTCGTGCAAGGGAGATGCAGTGGCAGATACAAATTGGTGGGGGGGGGAGCCATTACCCCAATTTCCACCCCTTGAAAGAGTGGTATTTAATATTTACCCTAGAAAAATTTAACATTTATTGTTTTCTTTAGCAATGTAGGCAGGGCCATCCTTAGGGGAGATGCGGAGTCCATGGCAAATCCCACCGTGTGGGCCCCTCCCCCACCCGACAAACTACGTTGAAGCGCGGGCCCCCCCAAAGCGCGGGGCCCGGGGCGGCCCCCCCCCCCCATTCGCCGTGACCCTAGCGACGGCTCTGAATGTCGGGCGACATTTTAAAAGTTTGACATTTTGGTACTGCACCCCCCCCCCCTACCCCCCCGCACCATATACGAGCTCCGGATGCGCTGCTGGGGCGACGGCACGGCCCGGGACGACCTCACCGGTTCAACACGAAGGCGGCCACCGCCGTAGCGCAGGCCACCGTGTTAGCGCCAAGCGCCTTCCCTCCGTAGCCGCCTCCCAGTCGCTTGGCGGTCACCGTCACACTGCGCACGCACAACGCCCGGCATGAGCTCAATCGAGGAGTCATGCCACCACGGCCTGCTCGCTACCGACGCTTCATGCCCTCCGCCAGACCACGCGGCTGCTGCGCGGTAGACGAGACAGTGAGCGGTGGGTGTCTGGTGAGCGACGGGCGAGCGCCGAGTTGCAGGCGGACGTACTCTTTGGCACGCAGGCCCACGGCCTCAGCGATGCCCTGCTGGGCCAGGTCGAGCCACTGGTGCGACGCCTGCACCTCGAGCCCCACGTCTGTGGGGACGCAGCGGCACACCTGCACCACACAGACACACGGACGGCACGGTTAGCCCAGGCACACATCCGTGCCACGTGGAAACACGAGCGGCACGGTTAGCCCAGGCACACATCCGTGCCACGTGGAAACACGAGCGGCACGGTTAGCCCAGGCACACATCCGTGCCACGTGGAAACACGAGCGGCACGGTTAGCCCAGGCACACATCCGTGCCACGTGGAAACACGAGCGGCACGGTTAGCCCAGGCACACATCCGTGCCACGTGGAAACACGAGCGGCACGGTTAGCCCAGGCACACATCCGTGCCACGTGGAAACACGAGCGGCACGGTTAGCCCAGGCACACATCCGTGCCACGTGGAAACACGAGCGGCACGGTTAGCCCAGGCACACATCCGTGCCACGTGGAAACACGAGCGGCACGGTTAGCCCAGGCACACATCCGTGCCACGTGGAAACACGAGCGGCACGGTTAGCCCAGGCACACATCCGTGCCACGTGGAAACACGAACGGCACGGTTAGCCCAGGCACACATCCGTGCCACGTGGAAACACGAGCGGCACGGTTAGCCCAGGCACACATCCGTGCCACGTGGAAACACGAGCGGCACGGTTAGCCCAGGCACACATCCGTGCCACGTGGAAACACGAGCGGCACGGTTAGCCCAGGCACACATCCGTGCCACGTGGACACACGGACGGCACGGTTAACACCAGCACACATCCGTGCCACACGGACATATGGACGGTGCAGTTAGCCCAGTGCATGTGCAACAAACTCCAAGGGGGAATGCGTACGGCTTTGGGTGGGCGGATTGCACGGCTTGTGGATTAACCGTATTTGGATAAATGGAAACATGGTGCTTTCCACGCTTACTCGTGACGTTTGCGTGTGGACGGTTTCCAATGTTAGTCCAAAAGTTTCATTGAGCATTAAGGCATCGGTGCTTAACTCCTGCTTGTTTACAGCCTATAACGGGCAGAGGGGGTAGCTTCATCCATAGGACAACCACTGTTGACTTCTTCACAATGCTGTACCAATTGTATCGGCCATGGCGGGCATGATGAGCTTCGTGACCCTCTGTTATTAGCCACTCCTCGGTCGCGACTTAGTGACGGATCACTTTGAGCAGCAACGAAAGCAGCAACGATAATATTCTACGTTTTCACTTCCATTCTACGCGGACAAAGACAATGGACGCGTTTTTTTTAAGCGACTGCGCATGACCCGCGTTTGAGTGTAGCCTGTGGGCAATTCTCAATGTCAGCCTCTGCTGCCGCCTGATGAGGCTGGTGGTAATTACCGGCGAAATGTCACGGTACTCGAATTGTAAATGTCGTTTACTCTCCAACACGCCGGTGTGCTGACCAAGTAACTAATGTGCATGTTTTGTTTGCGTGACAAACCTTACTAATTGGCTGCGTCGGGTGGTTGCGGGTTTAATGACACAGACCTAACGCAAAAAAAAAAAGCCCTCTTATTATGCTTGGCTGTTGCCCCGACACTCACTGCCCCTAGCAAGGATACGAGCCACAAGTGACCACTGCCGAACTGCGTTCCACCGTTTCGTCCGGGATTTTATGGACTCGTGGGGACAGCTCCAATGCCTTTCTGAGTGGCCGTCGCCCACCCTGGCCTCCGTCCTGCAAACCTGTTCTACTCAACGTAACATTTGTCTAACTGTTCAATACCGGTTGTGAGTTCCAACAGCTGTAAGCTGTAATAATTCACCTTAAATAAAATGTTTTTTTTTGTTGCCTGCGTTATTGCTGTGCAAAATTATTATTATTATTTTCCTTCGCCTGTCCTTTTGGTGTTTCGCGAGTTTCCTTGACGATGCGAGGGAAATCGGCCCGAGTCTGTGCACGTTAGACCGCCACTCCCACATCTGGCAGCGATTTACGATTCGGACTGCGCACAAGCAGCCGGCAAAAAGAGACTCACCGGGAAATCACCGGTGCCAGGATTTATTTGCTGACTAGCAAGCGCGTCCCATGCCGAGCCATCGCTCCAGCAACACGGACATTTTTTTTATTTTTCACTCAATACCGAGGGAGAGGACTTAACTTCAAGTGCAGACCTACCTCACGGACAAATCCACCTGGGTGGTGATACAGTTGAGAGCACACGTGGCTCGCAGTCGTTCAAAGTCGTAGGGTCAACTTGGCCCGTCGGCCTTGCCACCGCCAATAGAATGACAACTCGTTGTTAGCCTTGGCCAGGAATAGAACTGAGGTCGTTGGGCTCATAGTGCAGTGTGCTGACCAAGGTGCCACCGCTCCATCGCCCCCACCCCCCACCCATCTCCTTATGCTCCTTCACCAAAATGCCTACGGCTGAATGTGACGACCTGTTGAACTTATCAGAATATACGAGGATATCTGTGGGTGCCGATAGGAAAAGTTTGGCGAGAATAAGCCTCGCTATGTTAATAGGGTAGGAGAGTCAGACGTATACATCGACGGACAGAGCTCATGCCACCCCGTTCTGCAGCACTCGAGCCCTTCGGGAGTACGGTTTCAGGGCAGACCCTGGGAGGTCAAATGTCTGCGAGAGGAAGCCTGTGCGGGTCAGGCGTCGACTGCACGTCGACCGCACAGCATAGGCTGGGATCGAGCACAAGGAAGGGAACAATGTGAAGGTGTGGTGGCGTAAAACCGAACTAGGCCGTGACAGCCTCCTGATGTTGCGTGTCAAGATCGGCCCGGACTCCGATTCTGAGATGGAGCGACGGACTCCGCTCGCACGCAGAGGAGCAAGATGAGATTTGTCACATCGCAGGGCCGTGAGATGGCAACGACTTGAAAAAGCCTTCAACCAGCAGTGAAGAGATAACGGCTGCTGATGATTACGATGGTTACAGGTTGCTCAGTGGTTCAGGGCTCAAGTGACAACCTAACAGGTTTTAGGCCGAGCTGCATACTAGGCCTTCATCCAGCAGCAGATTGATCATGGCTGAGGATGATGATGACGACGACGATGATGACGACGACGACGATGACGACGCATCACCACGACGTCGCTCAGCACGCTCGCCTGCGTCTCCATGTAGAAGTGGTACTGGTCGCCGGCGCGGATGTCCCCCTCGATCACACGGGCCGACTTGGCGAGCGCCGCCTCGGCGTCGCCCACCACCAGGTCGTCAGCGGGGCTCGGCCACAGTGACCCGGCGGCGATGGCGTCGTCCACGGTGAGCACCGGAGCGCGCTGATCCGCGTACGTCGCCGACACGGCCTTCGCCATCGCCTCGGCCGCCCCGCGAGACTCTTGAGCAGACGAAACGTCGACACGCACAGTTAGAGCTGTCGACGAGCGGGCCGCGCCCGTCTTCAGCCGAGAGTTGCCCAGCGAAAGGAACAAAAATGTATTCACATCATTATGAGTACGTGCGTGTATGTTGGACTTCTGTCGCACCATACGTAGCCAACCGCGCAAATCGGAGGTGCGGGAGTAGCGGTGTTTGAAGCCGTTGTTGTTGGGATCTAGCAGATCGGCTCATTTAATTCACATCTGGCCGCTAAGTCAAGTTAAGTCGATTTCAGTTTTGCTTACACACGCGGTGCCCTTCTGTACTGGCGCAAAACTGCCACTCAAAGAGCCGTCTCATTAATACTCAAACATAAAAATAGAACATTCTATGCAATGAGAAACAAATATATAGACCATCTAATATAAATATGCTGTCAGAGGCACTGCCACTAAAGTGGGATTGGCGAGGGGTAGAAATGTGGAAGATTATTTTTTTTCAACCTTGCCCTATGCAATGTTGGATATGGAGATTTTGAAGTACAGTATTCTGAATTGAAATATGGCATCATACATTTTGATTTAAAGCTTTCGTGACTGCAGTAATTCATATTCTTAGCTCTTTCGGTAAAGTCACGTTGAAGGGAAACAATAAAATAATAAAATATATATAACAATAAAAAATTCTCACGACGTTTCGACCATAACACAAACGGTCGTCATCAGGTGTGTCGGTTCGCATTAATTTATTTATTTTTAAACGGTGTATTTTTTTTTTATAAAAACCGTCAGCGCCACGCGCAGCGATTTGACAGTTTATTTAGAAGGACGAGTCCATCTATGTTCTGAAAAGAGGAGGGGGGAGACGAAAAATTAATGTATGCTGTCTGAAAGTCACTGTAAGTGTGAACAATCAATTAAGACCTGAAATGGTTTATCAAATCTTTCCAATGATTGCTAAGCCAGAATCCATCTTCTCGGTTCAAATTGTCTCTGTGCTTGTATATGTGAATAGCCTCATGAACGAATCTCTCATGGTAGCCAGATGGCTTACAAAGAACCTCTGTCTTGGAAAAGTCAATGTCATGTGAGCCTACTGAATTATAACAATGATCTGCCATGGCCGAGGTGTTGGTCCTACCGTGTTTAAGGTCTGCTTTGTGTTCACAAATGCGGTCCGAGACATAGCGTTTGGTTTCTCCAATGTAACTACTACCACAGAGGCAACTTAGTTTGTAGACACCAGGGTACTGTATGTCCGGAATCACATATTTTACAGACGGAACCAGATCACGGATTTTATGTAATGTGTTGAAACGGACCTGGATCTTGTGTTTATTCAAGATTTTGGAGATCTTTTTTATGATCCCCGCAATGTAGGGTAAAGTGATGGTTTTGATAGGCTCCTCAAGAGGGTCCTTCTTCATGGTTTGAGTGATAGCTTTGCGGATTGTATAGTCGGAGTAACCATTAGCCTTAAGAGCTTGGTGTACGTGCTTGAGTTCACTGCCTATGTGTTCCTGGTCGGATGAGAGAATTCTTCTGTGATGGATGGTGGTGGGAATCCGGTTTCAGATAAGCATCCGTATGGGTAGCTTTCCTGTAGACAGAGTGGCTCATTGAACCATCAGGTCTCTTTTTAATTAGGACATCCAAAAAAGGTAGCTTGCCATCTTTTTCGACTTCCATGGTAAATCTGACGGCTGGGTGTATGGAATTGATGTGGTCGAAGAATTGGTCTAGAGCAGGCCGGCCATGTGGCCAGATGACAAAAGTGTCATCCACGTACCTCTTCCATAAGGTTGGGCGCAGAGTGGCAGTCTGGATGGCGTCTGTCTCAAATTTCTCCATGAAAATGTTAGCTATAACCGGAGATAGGGGGGAGCCCATTGGGGTGCCCTCAGTTTGTTTGTAGAAAGTTCCATTCCAAGTGAAGTATGTATTGGTTAAACAGTGTCTCACCAGGGGGGGTACCTCAGTGTTTAGTCCTTGATGGACCAAGTCTTCAATGATTGCGATGGTGTCTGGTACAGAGAATTTTTTATTGTTTTATATATATTTTATTATTTTATTGTTTCCCTTCAACGTGACTTTACCGAAAGAGCTAAGAATACGGCATCATACTTTGGATAACTCAATTTCTGGAATACTTTTTGGAATAGCGATATATAAAAGCCAATATATATCGTAGATGAACCTTGCTACCTATTACTGATTCATCATATAATTGCTTGAGGGTATAAAGTTAAATGTGTGAAGAGTCCGTACCGGCCACACACAGCGCAATAGACTGCCCCGAGTAGAGCACTTCGCTGGAGCAAAAGATCTCTTCCTGGAGGAACTGTGAAGGCATTGTGGAATTACGACCTCCTGCCGGGATGTCAGCGGCCGTTATCACCTGGATGGAGCACACATTGCGAAACGATCAAATGCGTCGAGCGTGAAGACTGAGTGTACTATGTACACGCACGTTCTTAATACATGCTGCCGTGGTGTGATGGTCAGCACAATGGACTTGCGACCCGAAGGTCGCCGGTTCGATCCCACCACAGGGAGAAACCTGCAAACTCCAAATACACACGCGTCCGGGTCGGGATGGAACCCACGACCTCCCGTATACCAGGCGGGGCATTTAACGTCTCGCCGCAGTGCCAAGATGTTCACTTTGCTGGAGAGGTGGTGCAGTGGTTAGCACTATGAACTCGATGACCCGAGATCCATACCCGGCCACGACAAACACCGGTGGCAAGCGATATCTGAAATCGGTCCTGGGTCCCACCTTCACGTTCCCACGCTGAACAGAGCGGTGAAGTATAGTAAAAACAACCCCCATGACCGAAGTGGCATAGGGAGGCCTTCATCCCACAGGAGATTTAAAAGGGCTGCAAATTAAATAAATAAGAGACAGCTGCTGTCATTTTAATACCCTTCTCACAATGCTGTACTCGGAGCACAAAAAGTAATCTGCTTTCTTTATGTAATAAAACGTCAAGATGCTAGCTATTGTGAGTTTTTTTTTATTCTCTAGGATTTAAAAGATATTCTGACCTTGGTTTGGGTGTGCTATGTTATTTTTTGCGAGGGGCAATATATAATTATGTTCTGCTGTTGCCTTATACATCGTTGTGAGATGCAGTTGTGCATGAACGACGCAATATAAAATATAATTATTATTATTATTAATAGGAGCACAGATCGAAAAGTTAGAGCAATTTTAAATCAACTGTGTCAGTCTTCTGCATTCGCTAACTTGAGTCCGTCGTTTCAATTCAACTCAACATTTAAATGTCACGCGGAAAAATCCGTGTAGCCAGCTACCCAGCCAGCTCTGGTGGTAATGGCCCGCAGGCACTAATAATGGAGTTATCGTTGGCACGGGACAGGAGTCCAGCCAGCAGCCAGCGAGGAAACTGGAGGCAAAGATTGTGTTTTAATAGAAGTATGATTATGACGCATTCTTGATGTCACTGGTGCACGTCAGCTGGGCGGGCGTGCGTCTCGCTTTTTAAAAGAAAATATTACCTGGATAATCCCTCGAGATTGAACATCTCATTTGCAAGGGTGCCTAGGGTGTCAAATGACACGTGCGTAGCACAGGTGTGACGATTTGTGGCTATGCACCAGGAGGGCAGCACTGTGGATAAAACCCTGATATGGAAATGAAGGATATCCTCGGTTAGAATTAAGTTTTGAGCCACCAATGATTAAATCTTACTGGACATCTTTGAAAAGGGGCCTCATAGATCATCGGATTCCTCTAGTACAAATAACACATTCTGGTCCTACTCTGAAATCGGCTTCTCAAACACAACGATCAGATGGTCTGAGCCAGGTCGCCAATGACTGCGCCAAAAGAAAATCGTACAAATACTGTGATGGCATTTTTCCAGCTCTCAGAACGAAACACTGTGGTCCTGGGTTGGTGGGTGCCACCGCGTGGATATAAGAGCAGGGATATAAGAGGTCCACTGAAGAGACATCGGAAGTCATTCTGTGGCACCAGCTGCTTTCCAAAAGCGAGGCGGTGCATTGCTCTGCCGCAAGAGTTCCTGAACGGGGGACGTCTATATCTCACGACATGGCTACATTTGCACATTTGATATCTACGCGAAAAAAAAATGCAATTACAGTTCTGGCACATTTACTCTAGGCGATTGGGTAAGGTGGGGGGGGGGGGGGGGGGAGTTTAAAAAGATATTTTTTTCGAGGCTATCACGCTTCACTAGACGTAAAAAAAAAATGGTTAGAGACGCGAAGGCGCACATGTGGTAAGAACAGCGGGAGACATTTCTTGAAATTACCTTCACTCAAAAAACACGGCAGAAAAAAACAAATCGTACGGGCGACCCCGTTGTATCGTGCTGCGCACATTTACCAACTGACGGACGCGCAGACTTATTACCACCCCCCACCCACCCCCCCTCCGTTTGCCGAGCCCGGTGATTTTTGAAAGAAAAAAAAACGGTTTGGCCAGGAGTTGCGGAAGGACCAGCCTTAAATAAACAAGGGCCTTCCAAGTATTAGAAGAGGTTTATAATGCTGCGTCTTACACCGCTGTGCCTTCTAATAACGGCGATCGTCTACGGCTCTCCGTCAATCCACCGCTGGGTTGAGGCCTGTCTGTCAAGGCGGATGTTTGACCGGCACCACACGCCACGTGTCAACCGCGGTTGGGTGTGAAGGACCACCACCGATTTGCGTGGTTGGCTACGCACGGCGCGAAAGTAGTTCAACATGCGTGCGTGCGCTCGTACAAAGACGGTGCCCAGGAATGGTTTGAGTGATCGCAGTCAATAACAGGCGCTCTGGTGACCCGGGTCACCCTTATAAACGTAACTAGCCCTCCGCGTCTCTTAAGTTCTCACAAATTTAGGCAAATTGAAAATCGAACGTGGAAGATGGAATTGGGACCCAAATGGTCGTGAGCATGGACTTGGATTCGACAGTGTGAGATACCGGGACAAGGCGAGTTCCAGAGAGTAAGGACAGCAGAGGATAATGAGCGATTCTGCCTCTAAGCTGAGGTCAACCGGGGGATTTTGACGGAAATGCCTCGGTCGTTGGAACAGAGGTCACCAGAAAGGGAGCAGAGGGATAGGGCGAGGGAAGAGGTCGGTAAGGATGCCAACTCATGGCCTAGTGCACGTGAGTTTAGAAGTCCTTTGCTTCTATTCGTTAGCATTGTTGGTGGCGTGGATTTATTTCCGGGGCCCTCCGGCTTTTCCCTCGGCATTGAGAAACGTGCGTTTAGATTATTGAGTTTTATTTGGCTGCTGTAAATTTCCACGTGATGAGCCACTTCGCTCAGCTGTCATTTGTGGCCAGGTCGCTTATGAAAAAGAAGCTAATAGCCCAGTGGGCTTTACATGGTAAAATAAAGATCTTTTTTTTTTCGTGATTTGCTTACTTTTCCTATATTTTGCACTCCTGTCGTGATTTTGCGCTGTTTGTTGCTCTAACTTTCTGACCTGCCCCCACTGGACAGTATGAATACTAATTCAGATTGTTGTACTATTCCCTTTCATTAAATGTAAGACATTATTACATTATTATTGCATTTTTGTCGGGTTTTTTTCGGAACAGGAAAAAGTATATGAAGACTACAAATCCTGTTTCCACGGTGGTCTAAAAAATACAGCTGCAAAAAGTATCTCTAACAAGGAACAGATATGTACGTATTTAACTTTTTGAACATTGTTTTATTTTACTTAATTCCACATAATAAAGGGGTCCGTTGGCTCTAGGAGATGCACGTGTGCATTGGATGCGATCCAAAAGGTAATCTGAGTAATCGGTTACACCATTCACGCCGCGGTAGTTTTGACAGATTACGTTGTGGATTACCCCTGCTCCAAAGCAATCGTTTATCAAATACATTGTTTTAATTTTACACGTTAAATCAGTTACGGAAGCACATGAGATGAATGCCCTGCATTGAAGCCCTGTGCTGTCATCTGTACACAAATGGGTCTGCGCGTTTGCACAGAAGATTACGCTCCCTTCATACAAGTCGATTATAATTTTGTCCATTTCCCAATTGTCCTTGGAGTTGTCTTTTCGGTTTCATTTCACGAGATGTAGAATCCATTTGGAACTCTTGTAGAGAAGTGGCATAACGGCCCAACGACTTGTATCACGGGCCGCAAAAAAAGAGATATCACAAAACTACTTCTGATATCCCAAAACGTGACCTCTTTCAGCTACGCATTGGAGGGGCGCATTTTCCAACGCCATACCACGGGAAGTTGTTCGTCGCATGGCAGTCAAATTGAGCTGAAAAGTATCCAGATAAAGTGAAAGCCAAAACGTTAACATGAAAATAAAATAACACTTTAACCAAATGTCACATGTTTGCACATGAGGCTGGAGGAATCCGACGACCTATACATCTCTTTTCCACAGATGTCCAGTGAGTGCCCAGGGGAAACCCGCACATGTGAGGAGATAATGCTCCAGTGAAACCAATATTTTCCATTGAGAGAGCTGGAATAAAACCACCCATTAAGTATAAAGCCAAATGTTGATATAAAGGTTGTGTAGTCAATGGTGACCAGGCTGAGACCATCCACTTGCTAGAATTGAGAACCCAGTGTTCTCAATTCTAGCAGCGCCAGCTCAGTGTTGTGATCTCTGAGCTACCCAGCCACTTCTAGCTGCTATTTACATGGAATTCAAGAGATGTGTGTGCAGCAGTAGTTTCTAGGGAGCGTGACATTACGGTCTTAGTCAAGATAAACAAACCCCTTGAAGGTGCATCATATATTTTCCTTCAAATCTATTCTTCACTCGAACAGCAATCCGATGTAATCTCATGGTATTCTACCAATTACACGATGCACTCTTCCCCCAGTACTTTAAAGGAATAATTGGTGGTGCACCTTGTAATTCAATAGCTGTGCGTGTGTGCGGAGCGGTAGTGTTGTGGTTAGCGCGCTGCGCTACGAACCCGGCGACCCGGGTTCGATTCCTGCTCGTGGCCAACACAGGTGACGATTATCTGAACCTGTCCTGGGCCTCCTCCCCTAGGTCGACTGGGCCTCAAATGAGTACCTGGCGCAGTGTGTAAACATTGCCACAAGGGAGAAAAAAAGGCGGCCGGGCGTGGTGCTGGCCACCTACCCCTCCGTGTGCAGTTCCGGCCTTCATAGGTGCTACTCGCTAACAGCACTTGCCCCAACAGTGTGTTAAGGCTATAGGGGGGACCTTGGTTTTTGATCAGATTCGTGTGACTCTATTGACACTGGGCACGTGTTTGGGGTGCGTCTTACTTTCCAGAGCGTCTTATAATCCGGAGAAAATGGTGTGGGTGTATAGATATATAATGTATTCAGGGTCCCCTTGTCCATCCACTTCTGCATAAAGGGCACACCAGTTATGGGAATTGTTTGATCAATCTTCACTATACTGGTCAGGGCAGGTTGGTGAAGAGGGAGGGCGGGTGGGGAGGACCAGAACTGATTCAGATATGAACCACTGTTAGTCGTGGCCGAGAATCAAACTCAGGTCGCCGATGTATACAGCGCAGTATACGCTAACCACTCCACCTTTGCTCGCCTCGCAGAGATCCAATTCGTCATTAATTTGCCTGTTCCTTCAATTTGTCAGTGTCTATAGTGCAGTGGGGGGGGGGGGGGGGGGGGGGGGGGTGTGGAAAGCGTGTCTTGGGATCTGGAGAATACGGTGAATATGAGACACATGGGCCCCACCCGGGGAACACAGGCCCAGCTGCAAATGCAGCTCGAGTGCTGCGGGGAGGAGCCATCGGGTCACGGAGCCGCCTCAAGCGTCTGCCCATTTACCCTGACGGCCCCGGGGATGGCGAGGGCAGCTGCGGAGTCGATGGAGATGAGCTTGGCGCTGGGCACGGAGCTCTGCGCGAACACCGCGTACAGCTCCCCGGCCATCGCGGGGATGTCGTTCACGAACTCCGCCTCTCCGCTCGCCTGCGCAGGAGAGAGACGGGACATGGGCGTCACACGCGCTGTGCACCGGCGTATATCCGCGCTGGTGGCGAGATGTGAACTACCTCGCCTGGCATTTAGGAGGTCGTGGGTTCGATCCCGACCACCGACGCCTGTATATTTGTAGTTTGCACGTTCTCCCTGTGGTCGCGTGGATTTTTTCTAAGGTTTCTCCTCCACATTTAGAAACACGCGTTTTGAGTATTTGTCTGCTATAAAGTTCCACGTGATAAGCCACTGCGTTGAGCTATCATTTGTGATAGCCATGCCACTTGTGAAAAAAAACTGTATAGCTCAGTGGGACAACAAAATGGTTTAAAATAGTAGTAGTGTGTTTTCCACTGGCTATTTGCCGAGCTGAACCGAACCAAACCGTGAAGCTCTGGCCTCACAAGACGACTGAATCTGGCTCGAGGTCAAGATTAGTTTAAGAGTAAATTGAATTCGACATACATTGGAACTCGACAATTGTTCACTGCGTGTGACGGCAATGGCACGGCTCAGGTTCTGCAGTTGGGGAAACAAGCGGTCTCCTCCTGAACCACGCAGGGCTGATGATGACGTACATGTACGTCATCATAATCGGAAGAAAATTTTAAATAAAGTAACTTTATCGGTACCGAGGCTCCCACAAGGTCTTGCAGGAGGGCGTGTGGCACAGATTGGCGCCGGCTATCACAGAATGCAGTCGGTGTGGCTACAGTTCTCTGCGGTGAGTAACAATGCATTTTAAAACAACGGCCCTACGCCTCTCTAATTAAAATGAACGCTGAGCCGCTTGCGCGTTCCGAGATTCAGCGGTGAACTGGACACCCGCCCTGCAACGTGCAGACGTCTCGGACATGGGAAAGGGTTAAGGCGTCTCTTGCACGTGCAAGGAAACGTGAGCACCCGGCAGCAAAACCCCATGCTTGCTCAGGGATATCACTAAGGTCTACAGAGACGGTGTTCGCGAACTCACTTGCTGCGCTGCCTTCACGTGGCCACCTTGCAGCCCAGCCTATATGTTCGGGAGCTTTACAAACCTCGTGAGTGATCCACAAAATCCTCGACTACTGAGGAGCACTGGTGTGCGCCACCATGCATGTACTTTGAACTTCTTTCGCACCGTCCGTAGGTGCCGGGGGGTGGAGGACAACAAAACTAAGCACGCACAGTAATACCGCGGTATACGTCGTCCGGTTGCGTTCCTCAAAGATGCCACGACGAATATCGAAGAGGCAAACAACCGTACGTGAATAATACACTGCACTCCACAGCGCGGCGCATTTATTTCCGCGCGACGCAAAGTCGTTTCACGTGCAGGGTAGGTGGTGGAGGCGAAGGCGGAGAGGCGACGGATGATGAGAAAGGAACGGACGACGATGCTGTCAGCGACGTGAGAGTGTTCGTGTGTGTGTGGGGGGGGGGGGGGTTCAGGCGACGCAGATCACTGTGTTAGCGGGTGTTAATAATAAAGCCACTAAGGTATTTGCGAAACGACGTAAAGAGGGGGAGACGTAAATCGGGGTATGAGTGTAAACCGCAGCCGGTACACGCGCATTTGTACAGTCACGCAGCGGACACTACGCAAGTTATTCTCTTTCACTGCTGCACTTGTGTCACTACAATACAGTAACACATCATATTCACGCACACATTAATAAAAAAAGCCTCCTTTTGTAGGCCCAGATAACAACTTTACATGGAACCGCAGTTATAGATATTAAATTATTTGCTTTTATTCCATCCTAGCCCACAGGCTAGCCTTTAAACTAAATAAAGACCGCAATTTTCTCTTCAGTGTGTGTGTGTGTCTGTGTTCAGGAAAACTTCAGGAGCCCGGAGAGAATGAATAGGAGGCGGGCGGCTGGGCAGTCGGGTGGATGGGGTTTAGCGTGGGCCCGTGGATTCTGCAGCAAATGAACCTCCCCCCCCAACGCCTCCCAGCCCCGCCACACTCACTCACTCCCCACAAGCCGAGCCTATAATGGAAACTAGGTCAGCGATGCTGCTGGCTTGGCTCGAACATTTACGGGTGCGCCGCTAGCGGCCGGTGGTTCCCCCAGATCGGTGGGGGTGCGGGAGTGGTGGTGGCGGCTGTGGCGGTAGTAGCCACGGCGAAGAAAAAAAAAAGACCTCCCCTTGTTTACGATGGGCGCGCACTCTTCCCCCACTACCCCCAACCACATTGAGGAGTGCATTTCCCCTTTTCACTTTTATGAAGAGGCAAGGCGGTGCGCTCGCCGGCTCCGAACCGACGGTCTCACGAACTTCCCCCCCCCCCACTCCCCCCCCCCCCCCCCCCCACGAAACCCATTAGAAGACGACGTTGTCCAACGGGACAGTGTTGCTTCATGGCCAATGACGAGCGGACATTTATCAAAGACTCGGAACACACACAAAAAAAGTTTTTTTGTTGATTTTTTTTTAAAGGTGGCCGCCAATTCTTAAGAGCTTGAGCGCTGCCAATGGCAACTGGGCATGTGGGGGGGGGGGCCCCCAATCCTGGATCACCGCAGACAACTGACAACCACAGGAATCAGAATCCCTGTTTAGACCTCAGGAGGAGTCCGATGAGCTGTGAAGCTCTTTTTAAACAGTTGTCCAGTAGGGTCGGGTCAGTACGTCACAACTGCGGATTGCTGCGACATCTTCATTTTTGATCTCTGGCTTGCGTGGATGTATGTATGTGCATATCCGTGTATGGAGTTTTTTGTATCGTTTGCTTTTGCAAATTTTTGGTTGACCCGCCCATCCTACATACAGACAAATGTGTTCTCAGTCGAGCCAGAATGACAATTTAAATGTTAGAGGATATGGAACGTATATAGAATACTATTTATTTATTTACACAGGAAATCCTTTCAAAATCTCAAGAGTCTTTTTAAAGAGTTCCGAGTTGAGCTGTCGGGCTAATTCCGCTAATAAGCGCTTGGAATGTCGGGAGAAACTAGAGCATCCAAATTAAGCCCAACGCCGCTATACGAGGTCCACACCGATGGATCCAAGAATCCAATTGCTGTAGCCGCAATTTTCTTTTCCCGGACACCGCGCGGTGCAGCAGGGTCGGGAAGTTTCACGGAACCGCGCGATCCACCGAAACCTCGCCTCCAACGCGCTGGGGTCACAGCCACGAGCGAAGGCACAACGCTTGGGCCGTGAGGGTGCGTGGAGTCAACGAACTTGCGACACCGTGTTACAGCAAAGTTCCCCCGAGGCCCCTGACGTCGCAGATGTAAGTCGCGTTCGGCGAACTGCTTGCGGGATGAAGACCCCGCAATGCACATTCAGCCGGCTGGCACAACCCGTCAGCATGGGTTCCTCACGGCCAAAAGAGCCGTGGCAGGAATTTGAAAGCTCGAAATGCCACTTCGCTCCGCACACACGCGCACACCCTCACGCGGCAACTACAGAAGCCTGAGTCAGGGCCTCCTGCCAGAGCATGAGATCGTCGCTCATCTCCACTGACGGCCCTGAGTCAGTGGTAGCCATTCCACATTCCTGTGCTGGAGTCCAGTCTCTCCGTGCAACGATTCCCGCTGACCTTTATTGACCCGAGGTTTTGGGGGGGGGGGGTGGGGGGGGGCAAAATACCAAGTTGACTGCCCTACCGGGGATATGAAACAGGTCCCTGCAGGGTGGGCTGGTAGGACAAGTCTCTGCGCTGTCTATTGCTGATTTTACACCCAACAGCACGAGATTTCACTTCGTTAAAGTATTGGAAGGGGACGGACGGACGGACACATTAATCTATTGCAGGCTGGTACACTCAGTTTACAACTTCGTTCCTACCAGTATAAACTCAATTTCAAGCGAAGCGCTCCGACCATAGCGCCACGCACCGAGCACTCGCAATGAGAGACACGTACAGAGAGAGGGCGGAGCGGTGGCGCAGCGGTCAGCGCACAGCACTTGCGGATAAGACGACCAGAGTTCAATTACCGGCCGCGGTTAACTTCGGTGTCGACTGATATCTGAGCCACGCCCTTCCACCCCCGACCCTCCCCCCTACACCACTCCACGCTCACTAGCGCGGTGAAGTATGGACAAACAACCCCCATGACAGACACAGTTGGGGGGGGGCCTTGCATTGACAAAGGGTGTGTCAATTACATTATTATTATTATTATCAATTTGCATACACAAAATAGCTCTGCGTGTCGTATGGCAGACGATCCAGGATGAAGGACTCTTTATCACAGCTATTTCAATGCTAAATTCTCCTGTTTGATATGTAAACTCCTTTGTCAAGGCGCTCTGCTTCTCCCACCCAGCTTAAAAGATGCTGCGAATCTTAGCAGCGTTCACTGAAGCTCTGCCGTCGTCCCTACAGTTCTGTTCCTTCACCTGAAGAAGGCTACTTGTGTTGTGGCCGAAACGTCGTGAGAATGTTATCGTCTTATTTTGCTTTACTGCTTTATTCTCATTCTACGCGGTGACTTTAGCCGAAAGAACCAAGAAGACTCTTCAGGGCTCATCACGGGCAGGACTATGACAGCCCATAGCGGTGGAGGCGTGTGGAGGGGGGGGGGCGTTGGGTGGGGATGGATGGGGAGGCGTAGGGGTGGGGTCGGGGGTCACACGGGGGCTTTGAATGAATGCTTATTTGACGCGGCCCGCTCAATCGCTCGCGCGCTGGCCGGGAGCCCGGGAAGCTCGCGGGAGAGTTTCCAGAAATCGCGCGCCTCAAAGAAAAAAAAACCCCCGGCTAGGTGGGGACAGAACAGAACAGAACAAAAAAAAAACACACACACACACAAAAAACCCACCGCTCTCATTCACTCCGGCAAAATTCACCCCTGCCAGGCGCGCGCTCTGCGAGAATTCAAATCAGCCTGCGCATACACTCTCAAAGCGGCGATTTGCTGGTCGGGAGGCAACATTATCCTCTAAATAGTATAATGTTCCGTTCCCTTTTCTCTCTTTGCACACTGTATGTAGAATCGTATATTTTTACATTTCAGATTCATCGGAATCTTTATTTAAACCGCAGGAGGAAT